AGTTATTAGATAATTGATATGATAGTATTGATAAGACTCTTAAACAAAGGCTTTATGATATACTGAGTATTATTCCTTGTTCATTATTATTGATTTTGGTTTATTTTCATGTTTTGGGTTTTATTTTCGAATGTGAGCTACACTGAAGAAAATGGAAAGAAAACGAAAATGAGTTTAAATTTGAAGCAAAGTGAAAGGGTCAAGACTGAGCTTTTGTGATTTTGATTATAGAGATGGAAAAAAACATGTTTACGGTGAATTGGGAAATTCAAATAAAAAATAGAAAAGATGGCCAAAATGTAGAAAAAAGCCTCAGGCATAGGCTTTTTTCACAGGCTTTTGACAGGTTGATGTCGTGTCAGCACTCTGTTGTCCCTTTTTTTTTTTTTTTTTTTGGTGGAAACCTATCAAGTCTTATTTCTGTAAAAAAAATTTATGATTTTTCTATGCTATATAAGCATTGTTCCAAAATGAAATTAGGACATTTTTCCTATGTAATTCATTTTTTTCTAGATGGCATTTTTGAATTTCGAACTTAGAAACATATAGGACAACAGCACAACCCTTCAAAATTTCACTTTTCTAGCTTATCCTGGGTACATTTTTGGGGAGGATTTTTGAACATTTATTGGATGCTCAAAGAAGAGGGAAAACAATAGGGAAGAATAGAAAAGGAACTTTGAAGAAATTGAGAAGATTGAAAGGGAAGGAGATTAAAACTCATTTCCACTCCTGAATCCTTTCCTAGGGAGGGGTTCCAAGTCTTTTCTCTCATTTTTACTTCAATTACATGGTTTGGTAGTGTATTTCTTGTACTTTTGTATTTTCTCTCGTTTTCACAAAATGTGCTAAATTGTGAAGATGATGTGAAGCCTAAGTTGAAGATTAAATTTCCATGATCTTTTTTTTTTTTTTTAGTTTCCAAACATTTACTGGATGTTTTATTACTTGTCATAGAGTTAATTGATTTCTTATTTCTTGGCCAATTTTAGGATAGTTTTTAGAGAGGTGAAAAGTGGTTTAGCTCTCTTAACAAAGGTTTTGAAGGGAATAGAAGTGGGATCGTGGATGATACTGGTTGTGATTAACATTTTAGTTTGTAATTTTTAATCATTTTGAGAATCCGTACATCATAGTAAGTTTTGAGTTTATTCGAGAAGAATTGTCGAACATTGAAGAGGCATCGATCGTCAACATTGAATATAACCTAAAACTTGATAGAAATTAAAGTGGATAATTAAGTGAAGTCAAAATCCGAGTACTTTCTCACATTCAAATATTCTCTAAGCTAATGTTATCAGTTTTGATTGCTTTAATTTTATGAGTTGCTTGCCAATTGATTAGCTTGTTAAAATGATCAACCTAATTTATGTATATCTCTAACAATTCAATCAACTAGTAATAAATCTCTAAAACACAAATAGGTAAGTCTTCTTAGGATTCAACTTTTCTCATCACTTTATAACTTATTCATGACTTGTGCAGTTGCATTATTACGTTGCAGATTGCAAACGCTTATGATCAAGATAGTGAAGAAGCAATTTTCTACGAGTGTTGTTCCCATTACTTTATGGATATTGTTGAGTTAAAATTAATTGTCAAGAACTTCAACATTTTAGGGTGGCAACATTATCAAACCTATGCATCTTAAATTAGTTATTTCTAATTCAAATCTTCCTTCAAAAATATAAAAATTCCCAGTTCGATGCTTCTACCAGCTATTGAGATTAATAAGTACAGTATTAGTGCTGAAAATGAGTAAGAAATGCAGTAAGCAATTGATAAGACAGTTTTTTTTATTTTATAATAATAAAGCATCGGCCACGGAATTCATTGAATGCTTTTATTAATAATAAAAAAAATATTTCATCGGGACATAAAAGCATTCTTTAATTAATTGAATGTAATGAAGCAGCAGCCACGGAATTGAGCCATGATTTCCCTTTCATCCATAACTTGCCGGACTTTCCAGGGACTTTGAAATGCAGCAAGATGATATTTTGAAGAAGAATGAACTCCATGAATTCTATAAATACCTCTGTGTCTCTCGAATGGATGCACAACACATTTCTTCAGATCATTAAATTCAAATACATTAAACTCTCCTACTCAAAAGAATGGCTTTGACGCGCAGTTGGAAGCTTATTTTTGTGGCAATTCTGGTGTTGGAGATGTGGGCATCTCAAGCCATAGCTCGTTCATTGCAAGATGCATCCATGGTTGAAAAACACGAGCAATGGATGACACAATATGGACGCCAGTATAAGAATAGTGCAGAGAAGGCTACGCGATACAAAATATTCAAGGAGAATGTGGAGTACATCGAGACTTTTAATAAAGCAGGCACTCGATCTTATCAGCTTGGCATCAATCAATTTGCTGATCTGACAAACAAGGAGTTTCAGGCATCTCGGAATGGATACAAAATGTCCCCTTTCCTAAAGTCACCTAAAGCGTCGTCATTTAGGTATGAAAATATGACCGCGGCTCCATCGAGCATGGACTGGAGAAAGAAGGGAGCTGTTACTGGTGTGAAGGACCAAGGCCAATGTGGTTGGTTAACAAACTAATCTTTTAACTCATTTTCTTTGTTCTATATTTGATTTGCTTCTAACATTATATATATATTTTTAATTTTATCTAACTATTTGTAAAAATACAATAGGATGTTGCTGGGCATTCTCAGCTGTTGCAGCCACTGAAGGAATAAACCAGCTTTCAACAGGAAAATTGATTTCATTATCTGAACAAGAACTTGTGGATTGCGACACAAGTGAAGATATGGGCTGCAGTGGAGGTCTAATGGATAATGCGTTTCAGTTCATCATCAAGAATCACGGACTTACAACTGAATCTATTTACCCATATGCCGGAACAGACAACTCTTGCAACAGTGAGAAGGAATCCTCCCATGCTGCCAAGATTACAGGATACGAGGATGTTCCAGCCAATAGCGAGTCAGCATTGCTTAAAGCCGTGGCTAAACAACCGGTATCTGTTGCCATTGATGCTAGTGGATCCGACTTCCAGTTCTATAAGAGTGGAGTTTTCACTGGAGACTGCGGGACTGATCTGGACCATGGCGTTACAGCAGTCGGTTATGGGACAGCTAGTGATGGTACTAAGTATTGGTTGGTTAAGAATTCTTGGGGAACAAGTTGGGGTGAGAATGGATACATTAGAATGCAAAGGGATATTGATGCTGAGGAAGGACTCTGTGGCATTGCCATGCAAGCTTCTTATCCAACAGCATAGAACATCAAGATATCGTCTCACACTTGATAGTTACTTCCATCAAGACTTCTTCATCTCACCTTGTGTATATCTGTTGTCAAATTTTCTGCTCCTGCTTCTGTAAATGAATACTGTAATGAAATTTATATGAAAATGATAGGCAATTATTGCCAGTGGTTTGCATTAAGTATCTCTATCAAATGATGATTCCAATGTGTGAATAAAGAATATACTTGAAGAAACTTCGTAAAATGGAATTCCATAGCATTCAGGGGAAGAAAAAGGTGAAAAATTAACTGGATTCCATTTTCAAATAATCCAACTTCAAGGATGTATTATGTTCTTGACAGTAGCAGTTGACTTTATAGCAAATTGCACTTTATAAGAAGAAGAAGAAATTATAATTTTATACATTGTATAACGAGTCCAATGAAACATACTCGAACTATTCAACGGACCTTAGAATTTTTATACCAGACTACACTGGATTACAACTTAAATCAACATCAAGTAAAAGAAATTTACATTTCGGATTCTTCAAGGATTTACAGATGGTGATGATTTATATTATGATGCCAAAATATCTGGCAACTAGCTAGACCATTGTACAATAGGCTCTGCAACACGATTGAAACCTTGGTAGTTATTAGATAATTGATATGATAGTGTTGATAAGACTCTTAAACAAAGGCTTTATGATATACGAATAGGGTATTTCAAAGTTCATTATTATTGATTTTGTTTTTTTTTTTTTTTCTTCCGAATGTGAGCTCCACTGATGAAAATGGAAAGAAAACGAAAATAAGTTCGAATTTGAAAGGTGTGTTTAGCTCTCTTAACAAAGATTTTGAAGGGAAGGGAAATATATCACCGTGATTTGTGTGATAGTGGATGATATTGGTTGTGATTAACACTTTCGTTTGTTAATCTTAATTATACCGAGAGTCCATACATCATAATAAGTTTTGAGTTTACTCGAGAGGAACTGTCGAACATTGAAGGGACATCGGTCGTCAACATTAAATATAACCTAGAACTTGATAGAAATTAGTGAATAATTAAGTGAAGTTAAAATCCTTGTACTTTCTCACATTCAAATATTCTCTAAGCTAATGTTATCAGTTTTGATTGCTTTAATTTTATTAGTTGCTTGCCAATTGATTGGCTTGTTAAAATGATCAACCTAATTTATGTATATCTCTAACAATTCAATCAACTAGTAATAAATCTCTAAAACACAAATAGGTAAGTCTTCTTAGGATTCAACTTTTCTCATTACTTTATAACTTATTCATGACTTGTGCAGTTGCAATATTACGTTGCAGATTGCAAACGCTTATGATCAAGATAGTGAAGAAGCAATTTTCTACGCGTGTTGTTCCCATTACTTTATGGATATTGTTGAGTTAAAATTACTTGTCAAGAACTTCAACATTTTAGGGTGGCAACATTATCAAACCTATGCATCTTGAATTAGGTATTTCTAATTCAAATCTTCCTTCAAAAATATAAAAATTCCCAGTTCGATGCTTCTACCAGCTATTGAGATTAATAAGTACAGTATTAGTGCTGAAAATGAGTAAGAAATGCATAAGCAATTGATAAGACAGTTTTTTTTATTTTATAATAATAAAGCATCGGCCACGGAATTCATTGAATGCTTTTATTAATAATAAAAAAAAATATTTCATCGGGACATAAAAGCATTCTTTAATTAATTGAATGTAATGAAGCAGCAGCCACGGAATTGAGCCATGATTTCCCTTTCATCCATAACTTGCCGGACTTTCCAGGGACTTTGATATGCAACAAGATGATATTTTGAAGAAGAATGAACCCCATGAATTCTATAAATACCTCTGTGTCTCTCGAATGGATGCACAACACATTTCTTCAGATCATTAAATTCAAATACATTAAACTCTCCTACTCAAAAGAATGGCTTCGACTCGCAGTTGGAAGCTTATTTTTGTTGCAATTCTGGTGTTGGAGATGTGGGCATCTCAAGCCATAGCTCGTTCATTGCAAGATGCATCCATGGTGGAAAAACACGAGCAATGGATGACACAATATGGACGCCAGTATAAGAATAGCGCAGAGAAGGCTACGCGATACAAAATATTCAAGGAGAATGTGGAGTACATCGAGACTTTTAATAAAGCAGGCACTCGATCTTACCAGCTTGGCATAAATCAATTTGCTGATCTGACAAACAAGGAGTTTCAGGCATCTCGGAATGGATACAAAATGTCCCCTTTCCTAAAGTCACCTAAAGCGTCGTCATTTAGGTATGAAAATATGACCGCAGCTCCATCGAGCATGGACTGGAGAAAGAAGGGAGCTGTTACTGGTGTGAAGGACCAAGGCCAATGTGGTTGGTTAACAAACTAATCTTTTAACTCATTTTCTTTGTTCTATATTTGATCTGCTTCTAACATTATATTTTTTTTTTATGTTTATCTAACTATTTGTAAAAATACAATAGGATGTTGCTGGGCATTCTCAGCTGTTGCAGCCACTGAAGGAATAAACCAGCTTTCAACAGGAAAATTGATTTCATTATCTGAACAAGAACTTGTGGATTGCGACACAAGTGAAGATATGGGCTGCAGTGGAGGTCTAATGGATAATGCGTTTCAGTTCATCATCAAGAATCATGGACTTACAACTGAATCTATTTACCCATATGCCGGAACAGACAACACTTGCAACAGTAAGAAGGAATCCTCCCATGCTGCCAAGATTACAGGATACGAGGATGTTCCAGCCAATAGCGAGTCAGCATTGCTTAAAGCCGTGGCTAAACAACCGGTATCTGTTGCCATTGATGCTAGTGGATCCGACTTCCAGTTCTATAAGAGTGGAGTTTTCACTGGAGACTGCGGGACTGATCTGGACCATGGCGTTACAGCAGTCGGTTATGGGACAGCTAGTGATGGTACTAAGTATTGGTTGGTTAAGAATTCTTGGGGGACAAGTTGGGGTGAGAATGGATACATTAGAATGCAGAGGGGCATTGATGCTGAGGAAGGACTCTGTGGCATTGCGATGCAAGCTTCTTATCCAACTGCTTAAAACAGCAAGATAAGAAGCCATTTCGAACAAGATTTCGTCATTTCACCTTGTGTATATCTGTTGTCAAAATACCTACTCATGCTCATGTAAATAGAACTTGTATGAAATTTATATATAAAAACAATAGGCTATAATCGCCAGCAGTTTGCATAATCACATCAAGTATCTACATATACTTAAAAAAAAAAAAAACAAAAAAAAAAAACAAAACCTACTTTCAAGAAACTTCATATAGGAATATTCCATCAGATAGATGATGTGATCCCCATTCTTAAACTATGTTGCTAGTTTATCGCTATATTGCATTCTGAATGCTAGCACAAGCATTGGAGCATTGTTCCTGAAAGACTCTGCTCATTAGTTCATGAATATCCTAAGGTATTGAGTTGAGTTGCGTAACCAGCTCGACCCTTGTGTTTAATGACTACTTTTCTCAAATGAACCGAATCCATTGAATGATCCGTGTTTAGATTATCATAATTTTTAGTTTTTTACATCCCAAAAATTGTGGGATTATAGAATACAGACCAACGAAATAATATATTAATATTTTTATGTCCAATCGCTAGTGATCAAAATATGATAGAAATATACTTGAAATTGGATTAAGATCCGAAACAGTATCCAAAACACACTGCATACACACATGAAATGCATGTAATGTTAACAAAACAAAAAACCAATTACAGTAGCAACGTCCACGTAATTGAAATTGTTGTCAATTCATACATAACCCGCCGGTGCCTTTATGCTTGGCAATTCCTTGTCAAAGCCGCAAAAAGATATTCACATTACAGTGGTAATGCTTTCACTTAAGACAGAAATCATTGAAGAAACAATTTGTTATCCATATATACCTTGTTCTTGTATGCCTTTTCATTCAAATTAACCCTACGAAAACCATATAAACTTGTGAAAATATATTATTTTTGTAGTGCCATATGAAGTGGAATACTTACCTATGGATTTGCAATTTGATCAAAAATTTATTCTTGCTCTTTCGTTAGTCCTTGGGAGATCTTCTTGCCTGGCAACTTCTTGCAGCCTTCAATGAAGCATCCATTGTTGAGAAGTACGAGCACCGGATGGCTAAATATGGATGTGCATACGAAAATAATGCAGAGACGGCAATGCGATTCAAGATATAAGCTTTCGATTATCAAGCCAAACAAATGATAAAATTTTAACCAGAGTGCTCAAATGCTAACCATAAGCATTCGAGCAAACTAGGCATCCAAGTGTGCCAGCTCCAAGGAGGAGGCATCTTGCCGAAGACAAAACATCGAGGTTTAATGAAGGCAAGGCACGCCATCTCATTGGCTTCAAGATCAAATCTGCAGCTGATCTGGCTAACCTGTTAACAATGAGCCACAAAGTAGTGAGGAAAAAACCAAAAATACTGTTCTGTAGGTGGAGTGATAATTTATAGAAGATACCTAGTTGGATCCATGGTGTTAGCAAGGCTGATAAACCTTGGAACCATTCTTCCTCTATTCCTTTCCCAACCCACAGCATTTGGCATATTATAATTGGTTTTCCAACCTAAATAAAGTTCACATTTTCAGAGATCTCTTATCATATAAAATTGTAATTATATATATGAGACAAGTGAACCCGAAAAGTGTTGTTGCTCAATTACCACTGCCCTACCTTGTGAATTTGATATCAATGCTTCACCCACCAAGGACAGTCCAAGATCCGCAAAACCACGATTCTCGCGGTGGCATAAAAATGGAACTTTTTCAAGTCTCCATCTTACATGAATATATAATAGAAAGTTTTGAAGAGGCCAGCCGGGATTATTTGGAAGATGATAAGGATCATAAAATCCAAACAGAACCAGCAGGGAATAAAGACATGCATTTATGTAAATTAAATGTTTCTTCCATTATGAATAATTGAAGCTAATATAGAATTCCATTAGTTTTTGTCAGTAATAGGATTTCAGCCATTTTGATTACTATATAATCATATAGATTTCCAAATATTTAAGTGGTATTAACAGACCTTATGACCATTACTTCGGCAGTCTTCAAAGTCAATCAGATGCCTAACAGTAGCAATTGAATTTGTATCAATAGAAACCAGGAAGAATGGAATATCTGCAAGAGACTAGAGGATTTAGCCCCACAAATACAAAGAAAAGCATTGACAATGGATCAACACGTGCTCATGAAATCCTCTACCTGTTGTTGATGACAGGTTATGCCACTCATTACAAGCAACTGCTAGGGACTCAGCCTATAAGCCGCAACAGTATCTTTTAAATTAAAACCAACATCTCAATGAGTAGCTAGAAGTATTCTCCATATTATTAATATTCCTATCACCTCTTCTAAGCTAAACAAGTGGGAAGCTGGCTTCAACATAACCGAGGTTGCAGGAGGATCAAGCATCAGAGCAGGGAAAGCAAACCAGTAATAAAAGCTCCATTTAATTAAGTCTGCAAATGAGATAACAAGGAATCTTGAAAAAATTGTGCTATTGTCCTCAGCTTTTCCCGAATGAATGATCTCCCAGATCAGACATTTAAAGAAAAGTAAGCTGATATGAGATGCATATTTGCCACCTGGGTAATCCGCCTTTTATCTGGTTACACTAGTAGTTTCGGGTGTGGCATGGAAGGTATCCTAAACAATTTAAAAGTTCATTACCGAGAATATTGTAAAACATGGATTGCATATTGAAATGTACAACAAAGATACTTTCTTCGCTTCTGCGTTAAGTAAAATTTTGCTTGTCAAGAGCCTGGAAGCCTTCATATATATTTGTATTATAGAGAATGCCAGGGACAGAACACTTATTCCTATTCCTATGGCTTGGTTCTAGCACTGCTGATTGTTCACTTGATTCAGTAGGCAATAATTCGGAAAGACGAGTTAAATGTTCTGACACTTGATGATGTGAGCATGGTGCAAAAATAAACTGACATGAAATCAGACGAAACAATCCTACATGCTCAGACATCATGACAGGATATTATGCTTTATTCATCAGGAATGCAATCAGAGATAGGAAACCAAGAAATACAAGAAATACAAGAAATAAAATTATAGCCAAGGCTAAAGACCATTTCATGGTTAGCAGACCACCTGTTTTTATGCTTCCATTATATCATTGTGTTTGCTTGGAGGTCCATTAGTTTAAATTAAGAGGATGACACTCTAGCCGATATAGAGCCCATAGTTGTTTACCATACTATTTAGAAGCTACATGGAGATAACGGGGTATGGAACACATAGTGAGCTACAACAATGATTAAAGGGCCTAATAAGCCTAGATTAAGAGATAATTGAGCATGACATGACTTTGTTAGGATCTCATACGAGCTTTTATGGCCTAACCTGTGCACTCTGCCTCTCGCTTTCCAAAACTCATTTTTCCTTTAATGCTAAAAACAACCATCTAACCATGTAAAAACCCTTCTAAGAACCTTAGAACATGTTTAGGAAGTGTTTGTAAACAATTTAAATTATAAATGGATAGAAATGAGTGGGTAGTACTTGTAGGATCCTTGAGATGTGAGAATAAAAAGTGGTTTAAGGGTTTATAAACAGTTTATAAACATGAGCCAAAGATAGGCTTAGTGTGCCACATAAAATATGTTCATTATCCAATAGTCAATGCTATCCTTTCTTCACATCATCCATCATTGGTTAGGTCAAAATTACTCATAATAATGTCTCCCATAAATTTTCAAGAGATGATACATTTGCTCCAGGATTGACAAATATGAAAGGATGCCCAAGAGAATTTAAGGCTTTAAAGCCTTGGCAAAGCACTGTTAAAATTTGTGCAATCACCCTATACCCCAAGAGCTTCCCGTATTTTATTCATCAATTTTGATACAATAATGCACAATCTTAATTAATAACTCTGGTTAATAGTCATTCCTGATGCAGTATTGACAGTATCATGTTTCATAAATGAAAAATACACATTTTTTAATCACTTTCTAGTTTACACCACCCTGCCTACCTTAGATGACACATCGCCAACACATAGATCCACAGATCAGCATGAACCTTTTCTCTCTAGCTTAAGCCAACCCCTAAACTTGCAATTTGTGCAAGCATAAACTAGGTGCTATGCATGATTTGTAAAATATTAGTTTGATCTTTTCCTGGTTACAAGACAGAAAATAAGCCAAAAATATATCAAGGTGCAAAATTCCCTCCAACAAATTGTAACTTTTGAAGAACGGGCTATAAACAGCAAAAATCAGGGATGACTTCTTGGCATGTAAATCTAAGTCAAATGTAACAGAAGGTTTACCAGTTATTGGAATTGGAGACTCATCGAGCCATAGCTTGTTGAGCTTCAATGAAGACAAACTACGCCAAAAACCCTCTTCCACAGCACTCTGAAAAGGTGCAAATTGAAGAGTGGTTTCCTTCCTATGGTCCACCATTCTGGCCAGTCTGATTTTGTCTCCAGTTTAGTTTAGGTGAAGAAAGGTTCCTCCAACAAAAATATCTTATAGAACATGAATGAAAGCATAAAGCTAAATTACAATTAACAAGAAAGAATCCAATGCATTAGGTTCGGAAATTTAAGTTATGAAAACCATATTTGTTACTTTTAAAAAGTTAAAATCAAATTCTTAAACCAGTGAATGCAAATATTAATAACCCAACCAATTGACGTTATTCTTGAGTTCCACAAACTACAGCTCTTATTGAAGGCATATTACACCATCACTTCAAGAATGCTGCACGGACTATATGAAAAACTACAGTATTGAAGTATGACTCAAGATTCGAGTAAATGTACCCCCACCAAACTAATCAACCATAACTGAAAACTACACAATGAAATCGCGAGAGTTTCAACAAAAAATCCAGACCCAGATAGAAAATCGAGCAGAATAATCGATGCACATCTTGAAATTCTATAATTTTCTCCCAAAAAATATTACCTGTAACTCTGCATTGACTTCCCAAAAAATTTACAGAAATTTGAAATAGAGATACAGGTACCTCACGTTGCTTTTGATGCTGTTAAGGTTACTCCGCACAGAGAGTCAAATACAGATGGACGATTGTCATATGCTCTTCTTTTTCCTTCTTCCTTTTTTCCTTATTAAAAAAGAAAAAATAAATCAATAAAAAGGTTGAAACCCAAATTTGAGGCCTCACCGTCCCATCCTCAGAGCTTTGGGGGAGATAAATTGTGGAATATGTCACATAAGGAACAAGAGCGATTTGTACATTACGCCTACAAGGAATCTAATTTCATATTTCATGAATCGAACCCCCACATTACGACTGTCTCTCTCCTGTCCTTTACATCACTAGACTATACCTCGGAAGCCTTTTTTCCTTATTTTATTTGAAGGTTGAAAAACTTTGGTGCATATTTATATGGGTAACTACCACCACAACATTTATTTCCTACACCACATTATAATCACACCAAAATTAAAATATATTTTCAACAAATACACTACAACAAATTTACAATTATACTTAGTATCCAATAAAAACTAAAAATGGCGTATGGTAGATATGCCATAATGCCAAGTTATCGCGACAAACCTTGAGGTATTATTATGACGAAGGATGGACAAAAGTTTAGAATTCTAATTCAAAATTCGCTTGACTCATCCCCTCGCGTGGATTTAACCTTTTGACTCTTCATCCATTCCAATATAAAGGATTATTCAATCAAATAATACATAGTAAATGGGTCAAATTGAAAATAAATGAATTGTTAGCCGTACAATATTATTTTAAAAAAAAAAAGGAAAAAAAAAAAAAAAAAAAAAAAAGTGGTGTACTTATCATCCCAATATTACTTCTCATTTTTTTCATCATTTAAACATTTTCATTAATTCTAAAACAAGAATTTGCATTATCTTTTCGTCATAGAGATTTTGTACCAAGTGCATTATTGGTAAAAAAATCTTTTCGTCACAAAAATTTTGCACCACAATAGCCTTTCTAATTGCTTTTAATGAGATTTTAATTGTAACATCATGTTAAATTCTTTAAAGTACATTCAGACCATTTGCAGAAAGATTCTATGTTTGACTTCCCATCATCCTTTTTCTTTTTTTCTCAATTTTTTTTTATGATTTGGTGTATTATAGATGGAGAGAAATTCATATACTTACACAAAAATCCAAGGAAACTAATAGATCTCATACACAAAAATTCTCGAAAGTTGAAACATAAATTTATAATTTTACTTACTTGTTTTATAATCATAATAAATCTGTTTGACTCAACAAAAAATAAGATCCTTAATTTTCAAACTCGACAAATAAATAGAAAAAATGAATTCATTTACAGTGAGGAAAATTTTTATTTTGTCACCATGAAAGAAGGCAAAAGTCGCTGGAAAAACTATGAACACTAAAATGTTGAGAAAAAATGAAGAAAGAAATTAAGTTTTACTTTCGTGGTGTGATAATAATTTATTTAATTAAAAAGTATATTAAAATTCTAATTATGTAATTTTACTTATGATTATTTTAGTAAATAAGAAAATTATAGTGTATTTAGTAAAATTTGTAGTGGTGATATAATTACCCTATTTATATTCTATTCGTCTAATTAATATACAAAATATTGGATAAAATTTCGACCAATCAAAATCAAGACATGGGTATGAAAATGAACAAAATAAAGACCTGCTAGAAATGGAGGAACAATTGGAATTGAGCACCAGTTTGTTTGGGAGGAATTTTGAAATCAATTTTTTGATCGTTAGAGATAAAGTAGATCTTATCTGTGAGAAAAGAATTCAAAAATGAAGGCTGAAATAGTGAAATAACAGTCAAAAAATTGATTTTAATTGACTTTAAATCTATACCAAACAAACTTTCAATATAGCAAAAAAAAAGCCACTCATCTTGTTCACTTCAGCGGACTTTTTCTAACTTCTCAAAATTATAAGGAGATTAAAAAGAAAAGAGAAAAGAACGAAAGAGAGGCATTTAATTACAAATCTTATTAAAATAGATTAATCAAAAGGACGTAAGACTTTCATGGCACCATGGTTCTTTAAAAATTAACACAAGATAATGTTAATTTTGTTGAACAAGCCAAACTTGATCGTATTCTGGATAATATTAAACACTATAACTCGAAGATAATTTAAAAACTATTTTTAATAGGTTTGGAAGGAGAATGACTTTTATAAATCATTTGTTCTAGAATTCAATATGGATAAATAAAATGAAATTATGTGAGTCCAATTTATAGATTCCAATATGTCTACGATAAAGCCCCTTGTACAGGGGATATTACAAGGAAATTGTGCTAGGGGGGAATGAGTGATTGTGATTGACAGTATTAAAATTATTTTGTATCTAATTGCCAATCTCAGTTTACCAAGTGTAAACCTGGCAAAATGCTTGGTAAAATTCCATGACATTGAAGCATGATTTGTTTGTCTATTTGGAATAATTGCACGAAAATTTATTCTAACTATTAGATCACACAATTTCAAATTGAGATATGATGTAGTGGTCAAGATCACACTCCATTCGAAGTTCATGACTCACGACTCCTTTATGCCCTCATTGCCCTTGAATAGACCCACCAAATCATTTTATCCATTGGAGACTTAATCGATTCAAACATAATCATTAAACAATATGCAAATTTCAACATTCTTCACATGAATGTAATAAGTTGACTAAATAAAAGAGGATGACGACTACAATCTAAAAGGTAACAGGTAGCTTTTTCTTTCAAAATTTCTTTAGTAAAAATCCATTGAACTTACTTGACTAAACAATGGAAACAACATTTTGAACAATCAGTCAATAGTGTAAGTGATCTATGTAACAGAATTAACATATTATCTCTCATATCAAATTTGATTCCTTATTTTATTCAATATTTTGGTCATGAACTCTAAGTTCTACAAGTACATTCAAGAAAATCGTTAAAAAAATAATTAAAAAAAATATTCTCATAGAACTGACCAAGTTGGAACTTATTTACATAATAAAAATGGAGAGAAGTTAAATTTGTAAGTGCTTACAATCGAGATAGTCATGATTAATTTTCATATTGAACCTAGTCTATGAGATTTTCAATAAAAAAGGATAGGTTTCCATTAAGTTGACCCATAAAATTAGGCTTTACAACTAGTTCTCTTGATGCGTAGTCCATTCTCTCTATCTAGATAACCATTTGTAAATAGATTCGCTAGGTGTCCTTTCGACTTGACAAAATTAATCAATATTGTTCAAGTTGAGAGCAATTTTCCAATGATATTATGTCCATGATGTATATGTCTTGAATTATTGTTATGCACAAAATTTTCCGATCTAGCTGTTATAGCTCGGTTGACACATGCTCTGATTATATAGAAAGGACACACAACACTGTTCACAGCCCCTTTACATGAGGGGTTCGACGTGGACTATAAAAGAAGAAAAACCCATATAGAATATCTAATATGAAATGTCTAAATCATTCGTTTCTTTACCTGCACTGTTAGAGCAATAAATTCTAATTCTATCGTGGCTCAAGTTATTATCTTGAAGTGATCATTCTTCTTTTCTAACTTCTATTAAAGATATAATTTTAGACAAAATCTCTATCCCGGAAGTCCTAGGTAGATCCAAACTAAAATTGAGAAAGCAATTTACACCACCAATACTAACCTCCCCACAAACCTAAGATAGACTCAAACTTAACATCATAACTTAAAAAATATTCCTTCCTTAAATAAATTTTCTAAATTTATATAAACAAGAAGTTGTGCTATTTCATGATAAAACAATTTATCCAAATGAATGCACCTCCACAAATTTTGTAATTGGATTCAAATGCTAGACAAAGTGGTAAACTTTTATACTCACGAGGTATGTTGTTCACGAAATATTTTCTTTCGATTAAAATCACCGCAAGTGCACGATTTGTTAACAAGTAATAAAATGAATTTTTAGAGTCTGAATATCATCCTATAGAGATTGAGTAATTTAATTTTACCTGTCGTAGTCTTAATCGAAACTAAATTACTCAATATGAATGTTTACCTAAATAAACCCTAATTTAGAAAGAAAACCCTAAATTGGAATGCAAACCCTAGTTTATGCAATTTTTACGATTGAAATAAGATTAATATACAAGACACGATTTTTAACAACCTAGAATGCAAAACAACTGTCAAAAACGTAAATTTGTAGTATTCAATGTAAATTAAGCGTACTAGGATCACAATTTCCCATGCAACAATCACCTCAAACCCTAATTTTACAATGTGACAACAAGATTGAGTTATTGACGAATCAATGCTCCTAAATCTATCCAATATTCTCTCTGAAGATGTATTGAACAGATTTTTACATATCACCGGCCTATATCTCTATGAAAAGTGTATATATAAAAATGCATGCGATTTTGTAAGCACTTATAGATTCACGTAGGGCATAATAGTATATTTCTATTCCCTATCGGACCCTATGATGATTTATACAGTGTTGAACCTATTCTATTTCCCTCAAATGCAAGAACAAGTCATTCAAACTCACATAATTACGAGTCTTTAACTGCGGAAAGCAATAATTGCATATAAATCATTCAAACAATCAAAACGTGTTTTGATATCAAATTGTAAAACTAGAAATTTAAAGATCTCATCACATGGTACATCGATCTCCTAGTACATGTAAATCTAGCCTAACATGGAAATAATATCGAAATACATCATATATTGAAGAAGAAGCATCATCGGGTTATGAATTCTTGATAAATCTTCTTGATCTTCGTGCAATCCTTTGTTAATTCCACTCAAAATCCTCTCCAAAATGTGGTTTCTTGCATCCCAATGTGTTCTCCTCATTTTTGGACGTCCCTAGAGCTTTTAAAAGACTCCAAAGATTTGTTTTCATAAGAGTTTTAATTAGAAAAGGAAATCAGAAAAATTTCGCCGCGATTGGCCTGGGCGATTTTCTTCTTGGTAATAAGAAAAACATATGGGGTGATTGCCCGATTTTTATAACTGGGCTGTCGCCCAGGTAAAATTTCTTCCATATGTTACATTTTAGTCCTCGAAGTCGATTTTTTATTCTTTTAAGCCCTTTCTCTTGCATTTTCAACCCTTTAACT